CAGATTCGCAAAACTGTTAAAACTGATATAAATGTCCTATTACCCAGTGACCAAAGACCATCAAATGACTTTTGTTAGTCCTTGAGAAACTTGCCAGTAAATTGGTTTTTTTATGCCAACTTGTTTGCTAATTTTTTTGATACTAAAAAAAAGCAAGCAAACAATTTGAACGAACTGATTCAGTTGCACGTGAAAGACGATTACCTCCCTTAAAAAGTGGTCCCAAATCAGCAGTTGCAAAAGCTAATATAAGAAGCCCGATAACCAGGCGTATCATTTATTGAGCACGTTTCAGGTATCATTTACCAGTTTTTCCTCTCATCTAATCGACTAAAAAATTGGTGTTACGGCAATATAAGATAAAAGGTAACTTACCGAATTTTGTAGCAAATTGTGCTATCGTTCTCTTCATCCACGTCCAATTCGGCGATTTGACTTAACAATACATGCGCGTGCGCACCTTCAAATACCGGTAACTTCTGGTACATTTTTTTCTGCGCTATGATACAGCAGTGTATATCGATAAGCCCCAGAAGAAAAGCCGGTGAAACTGCGCTGCGTTAAAAAATGCACGATGGGCGAACAGGAAAAAACGCTAATTTCCTAGCGGTTGGGATTTTGTTCACAAAACTTCAGCTTTTTTGTCTGCGTAATTCCGGTATTGAAAATTGTCTTTACATACAACAAACGCAAACGCATACGTATATGCACATACATTCAAAGATAGCCGGTGTTGTGTGCATTTCTGTGTAAAAAGCCGAAAGCTCGACTCTGCTGGTGGGACATCTTCTATTCCTTCTTCCATTTCAGTGGCAAATTAGCACTGGGACACTCCAGGAAGTCAAATCCGCCGTCAGTTTGCTTGTAAGCAGCCCTCGAAGGAGGAAGCCATTAACTGCTCACCAGTGGATGTTGCTGTCGGAGTTTCCTAGTGCCTTTGCCTCCCGGAGCGATTCTTGACATATTTAAGTAATATGCAAATAGGAGGCCCCAACACAGTGCGTTTCCCCGATTCTGATAAAATGTGTAAAATTTAGAAACAAACCAGTGATGGAAGTATAAAACATTGTGACCAATCCG